GAACTCTGTTCGCGTTGCTCCCATCACCGCTGCGCGTCCAGACCTGGCCTTGGGTCTTCCGCGCACCGGGCTGCGAGCACCTCCAGGTTTCCACCGGTTATGCTTAATTTAGCACATGCGACTGACTGGTGCCTGACGAACCTCTTGGTCTGCTTTCGGATGATCTTTGCTTCATGAGGGGTCTGAGGGCAGCCACGGTGCCAAGTCGGAAATGGCTGCCGCTTACACGGAGGAAGGGAATGATCGGTTGTGCTCTTCAAGTTCTTGATGTATTTTGCCAAATCACTATCCAGAGAAATTAAACTAATTTTTACACCCCTACCCACCAGCTTCGCTGAACTCTCCCCAGTGTGAATATGAGCCCTGCAGACATCCTGGGCTAATATAAGGGTGAAATTATGCCTCTTTTAATCACAGAAGGTTATGTAATGGGTGATTCACTTCTTGGTTCCTTGAAGGGCCAGAGGGGTGGAAACAGAAGCCGAGCTGGGAGATGTGGCCTGCAGCCTAGAACAGGGGAGAGGAGTTAGAAAGTTGCTCAGCAGTTAGAGCTTCGGCGCATGGACCAAAGAGTCCCGGGTCCGATTCTGGCCAAGAGCACTTACCTCAGTTTCGGTTCGTCCCCAGCCCCAGTTGGGGTTGTGCAGGCGACAACCAATCTGTGTCTCTCTCACATCAATGTTTCTCTCTCTCTCCCTCCCTCTCTCCCTCCTGCTCCATCTGGAGATAAATGGGAAAATATCCTCAGGTGAGCAGGTGAGGATAAAATTTTAAAAAAGAAAGTAGCAGTGAAGAGGGAGAAACGGGAGAATGGCCTTCGACTGTGGCTGCATCTCACTTGTATCTACAGGATTTTAACTAGAGGTGATAGAGTGACAACAGGGAAAGGCCAGTGTCATTGAAAGAGGAGTTTATTACTTACGTTTCCCAGGACAAGGACACACCATGCCATGCAGGGCCACATGGGGAGGCACCAGGTTTGGTCAGGAAGCAGAAGCAGGCTTGAGGGAAGGCAGACGGAGCCTTCGCTGGGGTTTCCGTGGGACAGGCGAGCAGGGCAGGGTAACCAGCCTAGGACTGGTCAGTTTGAGTGATTTTTGTAGGCTTTGGGCTGTGGGAGTGGCCTGGAGTTGCCTGGTACGTGACCCTGGTGTGATTTGGAGCAGAGGAAACAGTGGCTGGTGTATGAGAATTAGATAAAGAAGTGGTATGTGAAAGACATGCGCAGGCGGAGCCTTCTGCCATCTCTAAGAATCGGCCAGTCCTGAAAGGAATAGTCTCTCCCAGTTATCAAGCTTTTTAAAACAGCCCTGGCCGGTTTGCCTCCACAGTTAGAGCAGCAGCTCATGAACCAAAGGGTCTCGGGTTCGATTCCTGGTCAAGGGCACATAACTGGGTTGCAGGTTTGATCCCCGGCCCCGGTTGAGGTCGTGCAGGAGGCAACCAATCAATGTCTCTCTCACATTGACGCTTCCCTCTCTCTCTCTCCTTCCCTTTCTTGTTTTATCTAAAAAATCAATGGAAAAATACCCTCTGTTGAGGATTAACAAAAAAATTAAAATAAATAAAATAAAATGTCAAAACAGCACAAAATACAGAAAATAAAAAACATGATTAATATAGACTAGGAAGAGGGCATTACAGTGTGGACTGCAGGCCCTACAGGGCCCAAGACACCATAACCCATACTCCATGGCAGAAAAGGTTCATGAGGTGGAGGAGGAGCTTGGTGAGTCAGCCAATCTCCTTCAGAGAGAACCTAGACCTTCCGGCCATCCCCACAGTCCACTCTCCCTATGCCCACCCCCGGGGTTATCCACTAGCTTCACCAAGTCACTACCACACATAAGGCCTGGGTTTGGGGCTGTGCATGAATTTAAACCTGGCACAGGGCAGAATGTGGCAGAGGTGCCAGCCATTCACCAGGACAAACAAAGAGAATTTCTCGTGGTCATGTGACCATCAATGTTCAGTTTGTCAGGGGAAATTTACTGAGGAGGCACTGTGGAGGCTGGTGAAAGAGATGAGTTTCTCCCTCTTCTTTCCCTGGAATTCCTCTTTCAGGTCTGCCCACAGGCCCTGTGCCTGAGCAGGCCGAGCAGGCTGACTCAATAGCTTGGCCCCCTGTCGGGTGGGGCACGTTTGGATGACTACACAGGGACCAGGCAGAGCGGTAGGAAGGAAGGAGAACAGGGAGCAGGAAAGGTTGGCAAGGCTGAGCAGCCCCGCAACCCCTGCCAGTGCCCACTCTGTGTCCCTTCTCCTGCCAGCCCCCAGGCTCAACCCCAGAGTCCTCTCCTCCTAAGACCCAGCTCCTGGACAGCCAGCACACCCTATCTCTCCTGCTGCTTGCCCAGCTCTGCCGCTCACCCTATCCCAGCCACTGGTCCTCACCATGCTTGGTCCTCAGCAGGTGCTCCAGCCTATAGGTGGTGATGGCGGTTCCACAGAATAACATGCCATTGTTTGGGCCCAGTAGAGGCATGGCGTGGGAGGTCAGTGGGGGAAAGGGAAGGAAGAGACATGCAGTGAGTACCTCAGCAGTCCACTCAGGGTGTGTGGAAGTGCCTGGGGACATTTTGGTTATTTTGATGACTGGGGGTTGAGTGCTGAGGAATGGGACACCATGGGACAGTCCAGCTGAGTGAAGACTCATTCCACCCACGGTGTGGGAAGTCTCCCACCTCTACATGCCAATCAAGAAATAAGAGAGGGAGGGAGGGAGGGAAGGAGAGGAGAGAAGGATGGAAAGAATGAAAGAAGGAAGAAAGGAAAAGAAAAGGAAGGACGAACATGTGGCACTGGCCAGGCACCTGGGCAAGAGGAAGGTCAGCTGCTAGTGTGATCATTGATTGTGTCACTGCTGCCACAGGAGAGTGTGCTCTCACCCAAACTCTCTTATAGATGAGAAACCCAGGCCCAGAGAGGAGGGTTCCCCCAGACACATGGCCCAGGGGTTACAGGTTTCAGGATGCTCTGACCAGGGTGCCATACCAGCTCCTGTGACCACCTGTCCAGGTCCCAGAGTGACCCTCAGGCCCTGGGTGGCAGAGGCACAGCAGAATGCGATATTACTCTGCAGTGTCAGAGCAGACATCACTGGGAGTTACCAGAAGTCACTGTTAACTAACAGTGACCAAGGCTCAAAAGGTAAAAACAAAAGCAGGTCCGATCTGGGCTGCAGTGAGAATGTGAGGTTACCAGTGGTTCTCAACCCTCCTAATGCCACAGTGCTTTAACACAGTTCCTCATGTTGTATGTGGGCGTCTCTGCATGTGGGCGGACCCGCCTGGAGACAGACAGAGGAGCAGTGTCTCGGTGTGTCAGTTCCTAAGACCATGGGAAATAAGTGTTTTCCAATGGTCTTAGGCAACCCCTGTGAAAGGGTCGTTCAACCCCCAAAGGGGCCGCGACTCACAGGTTGAGAACCGCTGGGCTAGACTTTGTTTCCGTTAAGAGCTAACTTCCATGGTCTGGTGAAGGACCAAGGAAAGGGTGCCCAGCATCCTTTGTGAACACCCAGGAGCTCCCCCAGCACTGGCCCTAACATGCCAAGACAGGCACAGGCTGCATCAATTGTGGTGATCATACTGGTGTCCTAGAGTGGCCATTACAAGTGACCAACCCTGGAAAGGCCAAAAGCAGAAACTGGGGTGCAGGGTAGAGATGGAACCAAGAAAAACATCAACTGTGACCCCTTCCCACCTTGAGAGTTCCTCACCTAAGACAGGTCTGAGCTGGGGGAGAGAAGACATTTGATACCAGATTTTGACCACCTGGAAAATGTTTCTATTTGCCTATATCTGAAGAGCTCTCCCCAAGATCTTATCTGGGGGAAGCAGAAACAAGCCCATGAAAAGGAGGACTCCTAAGAAAGAATAAAATTGTCCTCTGCTTGCACTCTCTTTACAATCCAACCTGTTCATGAAAACAGCTATAAGAAAACATTTCCTAGAAAGAGCCCACCCAGCTACAGAGTCATAGAAGGGGGCCCTGAGGGGTTAGGGGTGAGCTGAGCTCAGGGAGACTGGGACCAGGGAGGAAAAGGCAGGCTGGGAGGCAAGTGCCTTCCAAAGGAAGCTGGCTGGCCCTCCCGTGCCGCTCTACCCTGCAGATGTACCTCCACTCTTCCCGCACATGCATTTGGGCACCAGCCCAACCGGCCCGCCCTGGTGCCAGAACACCTGCTGCCGCTATCCCCCAGACCTGCTATGCTTGGACTGTTCCTGCGGCCTCCCTCGCCCTGCTCCCCCTGCAGCAATCTCTCCACCCGTACTAGAGGAGTATTTGAAAGGGAGAAACAGCCACAGCCTTGCGTAAAACACTCACCTCTCCTTCCATTTGCAATACACCTCAAGTTTTAACCTTGACACGCAGAGCCCCGGAGCTCCCACCTGCCCGCTGGCTTCTCTCCCCTCACCCACTGAGCTCCAACCACACTGGACGGTTCCTTCTTTCCAGCCGTGAGGACACTGCCTGCGCGCGGGCTTCCAGGTCTACACACGCCGCTCCTTCCCGCCTTCAGGTCTCGGCTCAGATTCCACCTCCTCCAGGAGGCCCTCCTGAGTCACCCAGTGTGCCTCGTCCCCAAGCGGCTCTTACATCTCTCCATGGCACCAATCCCACCCTCAAATGTCGGCGATTCCAGCCCTTCCCCCAGTCTGGAGGTTCCCTAAAGGAAAGTAGCAGGGACACACAGTAAAGGCTCACAAAACGAGTGAAAAAGGAAAAATAATTAAAGAATGAGTAGCAAGACCTCAAGGTCACGAGCATCGTTTTGGAATTAATTTTTTAAACATCCCCGCCTTGTCCCCGAAATTGGCCGGCCGCAAAGTAGGCAAATAGCACGTAAGAGAGGCTAAGAGGCGTCTCACCAGCAGGGGGCGTCCGAGCTCGCCCCGCCCCCGAGCTCCGTGCCCAGCCGCGCGGCGCACCTCCCCGCCTCCACTTCCGCTTTGGAGGAGCTCGGGACTCAGGAACTTCCGGCGTTGCCGCGTGGAGCCTCGGCTGGCACGTTTTCGGCATGGCTGTCTTTGCGGGCCCCGCCAAACCGCTGCTGTCGCTGAACCCGCAGGAGGACGCCAAGTTTAGCAAGGAGGTGGCTCAGGTTCGCCAGCGCGCGACTAAGGTGAGGGCTCCCCGGCCGGCTGCCAGGGGGGCGCGGGCAGGGCCGGGGTCTCCGTGACCGCGCACAGCCCGGGGCCGCTCCCCGTCCCCGCGCGCCTCCCCCGCGCGCCTCTGCTGCCTCCAGGGTCTCCCCGGCGGCCCCCAGCCTCGCGAGCTTGGAGGCCGAGGTTGCCCCGGGACTAGGAGGTTTGTGCCGACCGGAAATGATGGGTTTGGCCGGGTCGGGGTCGTCCTATGGGGCTGAGGGGGTGACGCTGGAGGAGAGAAAGAGCCGCTGTTGGGGATGGCCCACGCGTGCCCCAGTTAACCCCGGACTACAGCTGTCGCGCTCCGCTCTGCCCCCGAGTTCAGGAGGTTTGTTTGCGTGGTTGGTGATTGGGGGGTTCTTAAAAGACTAGTTGCCAAGTTCATTCGCTGAAGAGGGCTCCTAACATCAAGTTATATTGCCTTGCTTTTTGGCATGAAATACACGTTTGGAAAATTTAAATCTTGCAAAGGCATGATGACTGAGATGTTGAAAGGTTTGTCGGCATTGTGAAGGTTAACGGTTGTCTCTAATGTGTTCGAGTGGGTGGGTGCGAATAAACGGTGATATGCATACGAAATTGAAGGATAGATTTATGTGGAGTTCTCCGGCCAGATGATTTAAAATAATGTTTTAGAGATTTACTTGCTTAGCCATTGAGTCTGCGTATAGTAATTGAACACTAACGTTTTGCTGGGTGCTGGGCTGAGAAGACAATCTGCTTGACCATTGTCTTGGTGGGAGATGGACATTAAACAGCGAATCTTTTAGCTACTGCTCTGGTAAGTGGAAATACGGAATAGGTTCTGAGCCTCGTTTTGGACTGAAAGCTAGGGTTTTACAAGTTTTGTTGCAATGTGATTTTTTTTTTTTCAATTAAAGTATTTCTCTGGTTTTTATGTTTTCAGCAACAGAAGCAAAAAAAAGAAAAACTTACTCCTGGAGTTATTTATGTGGGTCACCTGCCTCCAGCACTTTATGAAACCCAGATCCAAGCCTATTTCTCCCAGTTTGGCACTGTTACAAGATTCAGACTGTCCAGAAGTAAAAAAGTAAGATTTTTGTATTGAAGTAGGTTATTTGTTTTATTTTTCAAAAGTACATCATCCTTAACATTTTACAGGGCATGTTCACATTTCATTGCTTATCAGACTTCACTCCAGAAAGGAGGACATGGGTGAGGTTTAGAACTTGAAACAGCCCTGGCCAGTTTGGCCCAGTGGTTAGAGCATTGGCCTGTGGACTGAAGAGTTGCGGGTTCGATTCCTAGTCACAGGCACGTACCTCGGTTGCAGGTTTGATCCCTGGCCCCAGTCAGGATCATGCAGGAAACAACCAATCGATCTATGTCTCTCACATCAGTGTTTCTCTCTGTTTCTCCCTTCTTTCCTCCCATTCTACCTGAAAAATCAATGGGAAATATCCTTGGGTGAGGATTTTGAAAAAAGAAAACTTGAAACCACAAAAAATCAGTATTATTGTAAACTACTGTAAATGTTTGTTTTACTACTAAATAGAGTAGTTGCCCCAGATTCTCAAATTAAATCAACAGTTTTGGTAAATGAATTGTTTGTCCTGTAGCTACTAAGTCAGCTGTACATGAACTTAGTTTGAGGAGCAGGTTCATACCTCTTGTATTAGCCTCTGGTGTACGCATCCCTAGAATAGCAAAGTTATATATAGTGAATCGTTAAGAATAGGGACACTAGAGCCAGACAACCTATGTTCAAGGCCTGGCTTCTACAGGTTACTAGTTATATGACCTTGGGCAAATAATATTAACCTCTTCCTTCTTTAGTTTCCCGATTTGTAAAATATGAGTAAAATAGCACCAACATCCTAGGAATATCTAATCAAAGATTAAACAAGGTAATGAATGTAAGGTTAAGACAATGCCTGATACAGACAATAAACACTATATGTGTATATGTTGTTATGTCATGCCAACCTTCTACTTTTAAAAGGTTTATGTGGTTTCAGTAATAGAGGAATAGCTCATTTTCTTAGCACACACATACACTTTTATTGGTTGTAACCATAGAGACCTTGTTGGAATCTTTGTTTTTCTTGATGCAGTTTTTCTACATTTTCCCACTTGAGTTATAACAGATCATCTAAGTTAAATTTTATATCTAATTTGGCACATGAGGGGATAGAATATGCATTCATCATTGCTAGTTGTCCTAAAATCTCAGGTATTAAGTTTTGTCAAAGCAGCATCTCAGCATTAAAGGGGATTTTAAATGTAAAATGCCCTGGTATTTCTCTCATCCTAACCAAAATAACATATTTTCTCTGTATTACTTCCCTTTTATTCATTTGCCTATTTGTAATGGTTGCTTTTTATGTGGGTAAGTGTTTCAAGTGTCCTAAAGTCTCCTGGAGAATGATTTAGTGACTTTTTAGGTGTCCACCATTTTCCTTTATCACATACCAGCTAGCTCTCATACGTACTTCACATCTTTGTCCTTTTAGAAATAGATTTTAGCCCGGCTGGTGTGGCTCAGCGGTTGAGCGTCGACCCTTGCACCAAGAAGTCACCAGTTCAATTCCCAGTCAAGGCACGTGCCCAGATTATGGGCCCAATCCCCAGTGGGGGCCATGCAGGAGGTGGCCAATTGATGTTCTCTCTCATCGGTGTTTCTCCCTCTCTCTCTCCCCTCCTCTCCCTTCCTCTCTCTCTAAAATCAATAAAGAAAAAAAAAATAAAAAAACAAAAGAAATAGATTTTAGGTAGACTTGAGGTTCCTTTTGTGCCCTTCCCCAGTCATCTGCACCTTCTCCCCATGCCTGGGAAATGGCTGTTCATGAATTCAGTGCTCCTCGTTGCTGTGTGTGATTTGGAAATCTTGACTACATGTATCAGTACAGATTGTGTAGTATTCTGTTGTTCTGCAACTGAATTTATTCGTTCAACAATCTGTCTTGAGCTTTGTCCATGTAACTCAAGTACATTTATTGTCGTTGCTCTGTTCCTTTGCTTGAACATGCTCAAGTTTATTTATCTACCTTCCCATTGAACATTAAGTTTTTACAATATTTCACTCTTATAGGTGAAGCTGCAGGAGCATTCTTTGTGCAGGTGTAGACAACTTTCTCTGGAATAGTATTTTTCAGACTTTGACCCCATAATAAGAAATACGTTTTATAGCAGAAGTCAGCACACGTATACATGTATGTAAACATAACTAAAATGAAAGTCATATGAGAAACTATTTAATCTTTCTGATCAGTTGTTTAAAATAACCTTCCTGACCTGCTAACTTGATTTTGTTGAGTGTCATTATGTGTTTATTTGCTATTGGAATTCCTCTTCTGTGAATGGCCTATTCATATCTTTTACCTTTATTGTCTTTTTCAAAATCATTTTTCTGCCTTTTGTAGGATTTCTATATTGTAATATAATCATTGTTTTCCCAGCTTTGTATTTTGAAAATTTTCAAGTCTAGAGAGAAGTAAAAAAGAACAATAATATAATGAACATCCCTCCTCCCCCCAAGATTCACCCATTAACACCCTGATGTGTCAGCTTTATGTCTAAAGACATACAGTTTTTGTTTCACTGAGCCATTTGAAGAAAGGAGCAGTCGTAACATTTTAACACTAAATACTTTATTGTAACTCTACCAGGAATCAGGGCATTCTTAAGCAAAATCTTTACCTAATTTTTTTTTCGTACTTGTCCTGGGGTCTGGTCAAGATTCATGCATTGCATTTGGTTGGTCCGCCTCTGCAGCCTGTCTAGAGTAGTCTCCTTGCCCTCTTTACCTGGTTTATTTTGTATTTCTTGACATTGGCTGTTTGAAGAGTACAGGCCAATTAGAAAACCTGCTCTTTGAGGAGATGCAAAAATATTGACCATTTCCAGCATGTTGCACAGAAAAGCCACACCTTCCCCAGTTTCCACAATTTTTCTGTTTGATATTTCCAGCATTCCGGGATTCCAAGGTAAAGTTTTTTGGTTTGGTTTTGTTTGGAGATTTGACATGTATTTTCAAATCACTTTTCAGAAGGTTTATATCAGTTTACAGTGTGGCCACCATCTTTTCCCTCCCTATTTGAGAATTGAGATTGTAAAAAGATTCTCAGACATTTAAATTTTTACCAAAATCCTCTGTTGCAGATAACTAAACCGAGACTGAGTGGGGACAAGTCCAAGTTGCTAGTTCGTGGCACAGCTGGTGCTGGAAATGAGCCTCCTGGCTCCCCTCGGTTATGCATAAACCTTTTTTTTTTTTCTTAATCCTTACCCAAGGATAATTTTCCAGTTTATCCTCAGACAGGGAGGAGGGGAGGGAGAGATAGAGAGAAACATCAACATGAGGCAGACATTGATTGGCTGCCTCCTGCACAACCCCGACCAGGGTCAGGACCAAACTGCAGCCAAGGTACATGCCCTTGACTGGAATCGAACCCACGACTCTTTGGTCTGTGGGCTGATGCTCTAATCCCTGAGCCAAACTAGCCAGGATTATACCATAAACCTTTTAAGTGGTGTCTTATTTCCAGAATTACATCACCAATTTTTATTTATATCCAAAAATATTTTGCTTAATGCAAGATTGTAAAATATTTCTAGTTATTGTCACTAATAATTGGAACTCTTGGGGAGGAAAAATTCTTTTTTCCTACTATACTAGTTTTCTGGCTGAGACCCTGTAAATTGGGTCAACAAAAGAGATTAACAAGCTTACAAATGGGAACACTCAGAGATGCATAACCCAGAGGGTTGGTTAGAACTTGGCCTATATAGCATCTTAGCAAAGGATGAATGTTTAGAGAAGTGATGAGACAAAGGAAAGGGCTATGAGTTTCTAGGGCTGCAGATTGTGGGGAGGCAAATAGAGGGAAACTACTGATACTAAAGTTTATCATGTAGATTTCTCTAACTTTCTGGAAGAGAGAAGAGGGAAGACAGCTGTGAATGTATGTATGTCTTCTAGGCAGATAACAGGAACGCGGAGAGGTTTTCTTGTAACTACTTCACAGTTGCCTTCAACTCAAAGTAATCCTATGTCAGAGTAGCATATTTGCGTCCTGGCTTGCTGGCTCAGTTCAATTTCATCCTGTGCAGGAGGTCACTGGTTAGATTCTGGGCGGGGCACATGCCCAGGTTGCTGGCTCGATCCCCTGTAGGGGACATGCAGGAGGCAGCTAGCTGATCAGTGGTTTATCTCATGGATGTTTTTCCCTCTCTCTCGCTACCTCCCTCCTCCCCCTCTCCCTCTATCAAATCAAAAAAAAATTTTTTTATCCTCACCCGAGGACATTTTTTCATTTTTTGTTCAGATAGAATGGGAGGGAGAGAGAGAGAAAACATCGATGTGAAAGGGACACCGAACCCGGGTCTCTCTGGACTGCAGGCTAACGCTCTAACCACTGAGCCAAAGCGGCCAGGGCTGTCAAATCAAAATTTATTTTTTTTATCTTCAGCCGAGGACATTTTTCCATTTTTTGTTCAGATAGAGTGGGAGGGAGGGAGGGAGAGAGAGAAACATCGATGTGAAAGGGACACCCGCACGACCCAAGCAGGGCCGGGGACAAACTGCAACCGAGGTACGTGCCCTTAGCGGGAACAGAACCCGGTCTCTCTGGACCGCAGGCCGACGCTCTAACCGCTGAGCCAAACCAGCCAGGGCTGTCAAATCAATTTTTTAAAAAAACATTTTAATAAAAGCATATTTGGGGATGGCATATTCTGCCATCCTATAGTAACATTTAGTACTGGACAGACTAAATGGAGCACATGATTTATTTTGTGTCTTCATAGCAACTCTGAGAGTGGTTATTTTGTCTCATTTTATAGAATCAAAACTGAGGCTTAAACATTATTTACCCAAGTAAGTGTCAGAGCCACGATCCAAACCTGGGCCTCTGGACTCCAAAACAATATTCTTGTTACTAAGATGGTGAGAAAATCTACTTTATGTGGTGGTGTGGAAGTGGGATGCACAGGGTGGCATTTCAGAGAAGTGTCAGTACTATTCATTTGCCCCGACTCGATGACCAGTCACTAGTAAACATGAAAATGAATGCACTATTTTATTGTCTGGAGACTTTGAGGCTCTAGTAATGGGAGTTATATTACCTGCATTCCTTGTGAAGCATCATAGTATCTCCTGGACTTTTTTTTTAATTGAGTTTTAAAGTGAGAGAGGTACATCAGTCCACTGCCTCCTGCATGCCCTGCACCAGGGATCAAGCGCACAACCCAGGCATGTGCCCTTGACTGGGAATCGAACTGAGACTTCTCAGTCCATGGGACGATGCTCAATCCACTGAGCCACACCGGGCGGGCTGGGCATTTTTTTAAATAGTTTCTTTTTATTGATTTTAGAGAGAGAGGAAAGGAGAAGGAGAGATAGAAACATCTATGAGAGAGAAGATCGATTGGCTGCCTCCTGTGTGCCCCCCACTAGAGATCGGGTCCACAACCTGGGCATGTGCCCTGACCAGGAACCGAACTGGTGAGCTACACCAGCCGGGCACTTGGGCACTATTAACACATAACAATATGACTACCAGAAAGACCGATGATGAGTAAAGCACTATCAGGCCTACTAGATTTTCTTTATAAGATGTGGTGTTGCTGGCCGGTTTGGCTCAGCGGTTGGAGCGTCGGCCTGCGGTACAGAGAGACCCAGGTTCGGTTCCCGCTAAGGGCATGTACCTCGGTTGCAGTTTGTCCCCGGCCCTGGTTGGTCGTGAGGGTGGCAGCCACTCGATGTGTCCCTTTCACGTCGATGTTTCTCTCTCTCTCTCTTCCTCTCTCTCCCTCCCGCTCTATCTGAACAACAACAACAACAACAAAAATTCCAACTGTAGTAATCGATTTATCGTGTATAATCAAACCCCAGGAACACCTCACGGGCAGTGGCATGTTCAGCCTTTTCGGGATCTTCTCTTTTCCTAAAACAGTTTCCACATTGTATGAGTTGAATTTGCTATTAAAGGTGCCATAATGTTATTTGCTAATGAAGCTGGTGTACATTATTTAAATTAATGGCATTTTAGGAGTTGAATGATGCATTGGAGTTTGATTGTTCTAGTTTTTGTGGTGGATTTTTTAATTGCAGACTGGAAACAGCAAAGGCTATGCCTTCGTGGAGTTTGAATCTGAAGATGTTGCCAAGATAGTTGCTGAAACAATGAACAACTACCTTTTTGGTGAAAGACTCCTGAAGTGTAAGTGCTCTTGCCTCACTCGGGTGGCCTGTTGCTGCAGCTGGTGGGTGCTGCGGTGTGGAGGACAGTGCTCGGCTGCGTGGACACGCGCTTCGTCTCCGGGTGATTCTCTGAAGATGGAGCAAGAATTAAGTGCAATTTTCAGACAGGTTCTAATTAGTATTTTTATTTATTTATTTATTTTTATCCTCACCTGTGGACATTTTTCCATTTTTGTTCAGATAGAGTGGGGGGAGAGAGAGAAACATCGACGTGAAAGGGACACCTTGAGTGGCTGCCTCCTGCACGACCCTAACGAGGGCCAGGGACGAATCACAACTGAGGTACTTGCCCTTGACTGGAATCAAACCCGCAACTCATTGGTCCGCAGCCTGACGCTCCAACCACTGAGCCAAACCGGCCAAGGCCTAATTCGTATTTTAAAATCTTCCAGATTGAGAACAGTTTCTATGCTGAGATGGAATTGGGGGGAGTAGCTCAACGGGTACATAGGAAGGGCAGCTAACCCACCTTAGTGGATGTGGAAGGCTTCTCTGATGAGAATCTGAAGTTTCAGGGGGAGTGAGCCAGGTTCGGGGGAGGAGTAAGATTGAGATCCTGGCTGAGGGGACAGCAAGTGCAAACCTAGAGGTGACCCACAGTGTGTGCCTATGGGACTGTGAGGGAACGGCAGTAAATGAGGAAGACACAATGGAAGAGATGAGGGACAGGTCACTGAAGTCCTTGCAAATGGGAGTTTAGAATCTGTATCCTGAGGACAGTGGGGCACCACTAAGGGGCTCTGGCAGGATAATAGTGAAGGTGAGGAATCCCATTGCAGTCGGTCTGGATGGCGTGAGCTGCAGGCGCCTCCGTAAGACCCACAGGCAGAGGGGAGTGATGCCGCCAGACGAGAAGGGTGTCCTACAGAAACAAGCCGCCAGCTTCACATCCTGCTCAGCCTGTCTGGATCCCAGGGCCCTTCAGAGCACAGCTGAGTTTCTGGGTGCTCATGGTGGAGTGACCATCCAGGTACCCAAGTCACTCCCATCTGATCAAGCAGCTGATGAGGCTGCCCATTTAGCATCTCTCTGTCTCATTTCCTGTTGCTGTGACAGAGAGTCCCGGTAGCCTTATTGAAGGCATAGGTTCATTCACGCATTAAAAACATGGCTGCACCCTGGCCAGTTTGGCTCAGCGGTTGGGGCGTCGACCTGCGGTCTGGAGAGACCCGGTTTCGGTTCCTGCTAAGGGCACGTACCTTGGTTGCAGTTTGTCCCCGGGTCGTGCGAGTGGCAGCGACTCGATGTGTCCCTTTCACGTCGATGTTTCTCTCTCTCTCTCTCTCTGTTCCTCTCTCTCCCTCCCACTCTATCTGAACGAAAAATGAAAAAATGTCCTCAGGTCAGGATTTAAAAAAAAACACGTGGCTGTGCCCTGGCCGATTTGGCTCAGCGGTTAGAGCGTTGGCCTGCAGTCCAGAGAGACCCGGGTTTGGTTCCCAGTAAGGGCATGTACCTCGGTTGCAGTTTGTCCCTGGCCCCAGTTGGGCTTGTGCAGGAGGCAGCCACTCGATGTGTCTCTTTCATGTCGATGTTTCTTTCTCTCTCTCTCTTTCTCTTTCCCTCTCTCTCTCTCTCTCTCTCTCTCTCTCTCTCCCCCTCCTTCCCACTCTATCTGAACAAAGAAAATGGAAAAATGTCCTCAGGTGAGGATTTAAAAAAAAATGGCTGAGTAGGTGAGCTGAAAGGTGTTATGACTACACGTGTAGGATCAATGCTGTCTGTACCTCCCTGCCGCTTGATTGACCACCTTTTTCTTTTTTGTATATAGGTCATCTTATGCCACCTGAGAAGGTGCATGAGGAGCTCTTTAGAGAGTGGCATCTTCCGTTTAAGAAGCCATCGTATCCAGCAGTGAAGCGGTATAATCAGAACCGGACCCTTACCCAAAAGCTGCGCATGGAGGAGCGATTTAAAAAGAAAGAGAAATTACTCAGGAAGAGACTAGCTAAGAAAGGAATTGATTATGATTTTCCTTCCCTGGTAAATATTCCTTCACGAAATATATTTTGTGTTTTTTCTTGAGGGTGGGCTTCATACCTCAACAGCTGTAACATGATTATGGTTTTATATATAAAGTATCTAGCCCAGTGCTTACCACATACTAGGGTTTGACTAAATTTTTGAAACATTGCATTTTAAGTTCTTCCTAAAAGTGTCAGAACAGATCCATTTATCTCCATTGTATTAAAGAGGAAATTTTATAAAGGAATTATCTGACTTACAGATTTTCGTGATCTTATTTTATTTTTATTTTTATATATCTTTTTATCCTCACCCGAGAATATTTTTGCATTTATCTTTAGATAGAGCGGGAGGGAGAGAGGGAGAAACATGATGTGAGAGAGATAACATCAAGTGGTTGCTGCCCACACCACCCCTACCGGGGCCAGGGACAAACTGCAACCAAGGTATGTGCCCTTAGCGGGAACCGAACCCAGGACTCTCCAGTCCACGGGCCGACGTTCTAACCGCTGAGCCAAATGGGAAGTATTTTTAAAGTGCATATCAGGTTTCAGCAGTGTCATCTCTGAATTAAATGGATGGGTTGGAATACAGCAAGCCTGCCTACATGAAACAACCCAGGTTGTACAGTTCTCATATGCTTGCTCGTTGGTTCTGTCCTCTCACTTTCACGGTGAGGAGAGCTGCATGTCTTACTGCAGAACAAGGATGCAGGTCGTTAGGGTGTGCCTAGGCTAGGTGAACATCTTATTTCTCTTCTTCACCAAACATTGAGGTTGCTTCGGATCTCCGACCCTTTCAGCTTATTTCCAAATAGCTAATTTGTTGGTAAGAAAATGGGATCTATTCCCAAGTTTATTAGGTCTTTTAATCTTCAGAAACTAAAAGGCTGAGTTTACCTCCTTTGGCCCAGTTCTGGTTGTTGATTCTTTGCCTAAATCCCAGACATAATCTTTAACAGTATGTGTTAGAAAAGCATTGTGTGCCAGTCCGTGGGCCCTGGTCCTCTTATGTGCCATTTGAGAGCTGGCACACGGCAGCGGGGCTTTAGGCCAGATCCCCGTCTCCGCCTCACCTCAACCTCTGCAGCGTCTTCCCATCCCTCAGTTCGGTCCCTTTTCTAGTGTTTGCCCTGTACTTGAGTCACTCACTATATTTGTGGATTTTGCTTTTTAAACTGAAATGCTCTGTCATTTAGGAAGGATCTACTGAAAAATATGTATAAGGATCTAATGGTAAGTTAAAATGTAAATATGTGATACTACCAGTTAATAACTTCTTTATGTTTACTTAAGATTTTACATAAAAAGGAAAAAAGCAGTGCTTCAAACACTGATCTTCAGAAATCCGCAAATAGCCAGGTAAATTTGTCTTTATGTTGTATGCCAGGTATTAGGGAAAGGTAAATGGGGAAATGCATTCAAACCACTATAACTGATAAATTGTGTTTAATTTATTGAAGGCTTTACCTAAGAAGAAGAAGAAGAAGAAGAAGAAGGTTTCAGTCACTCCTAACACTCCTGAGAAGACTGTGGATAGCCAGGTAAAATTGTCTTCGCTGTTTTGGGAGTCGGGTATGATAATCAAAAGTGGAAAAGCAGTTCCTGCTACTGTCACTTTGTTAAAAATTTCCAATTTAATCTTGTGACTTTAGCAGATACCGTGAGTTTATTAGCAAAAGTTATCATTGTGAGTTTATTATTGCAGTTTTTACCTCTTAAGCAGAGTGACTGAGTCAAAGGAAAAAGGAGGCTATGATTCTTATAAATGTAAGATGAGAGTTTTCTGCCTCATACCCTGTAATAGCGCATATTACATCACAGTTGATTGTGAATTTTTGTACTAAGTTTTATATGCACCTAACTCTTGATTCTGTGCAATTATCACTGGAAGATGGAAACAGGTCTGAAATAACACGGCAAAGCTTGTAAAAACAGGGGAGGTAGTAGGGGGCAGGAGGGCGGCGGTGGAGAAGTCATTCCTCGTGTCTTCCCACATTTATGGATTATAATTTTTTACTTGTTGAACCCAGGACCCCACACCAGTTTGTACACCAACATTTTTGGATAAACGAAAATCTGAAGTGGCCGAAATGAATGATGATGAAGATAATGAAATCGTTTTCAAACAGCCCTTATCTGGCACAAAAGAAAAAACACAAGAGACTGAAACACCTAAACAGTCAAGGAAAAAAAGACAACGGAAAAGCAATCAGTGATTCTGAATATATTATGTATAATATTTCTTCTGGAAAATGTGATTCTCTTATGAGGGCTGATACTTTGGTATTTAACTAGATACAGTGGAATGCAACTGTTGAAAAGGTAAATGGAAGAAAATGTTGCTTCAGATCAGTAAGGAAAGGAACAGGTAACTGGCTTGCCTGCCCGGGTGGGCACGGGCGGGCACGGGCGGGCACCCGTCTGGCAGCAGCCAGGTTCGCGCTGCCTCTGTCCCCGTTTCTCCAGTTTCCTTTGCATTCGTATCTGTCTTCAGTGACTCTGGATAGAAGGGTCACCATTAACTGCAGGTTTAAATATTAAACTGCTGTGTTTGTTAAATAAAGAAAATAAACCTTACTTGAGTGTCTACAAGGTTCTAATGTTAAATTAGGTTTTGGTAAGCTAGTATGGATTACTAACTGCCGTTTTGGATCAGTATCATCAGTGTGGAATTGTATGTCATGGTTCAATCAGTGACCAACAAATAAACTTTTTAAATAATGTATTTGTATACAAGTGGGACATGGGTGTCTTGAAGTAAAATAATAGGTTTTCATGTTCAGCATTTTTAAGTTTCTGATGCCCTTGAAATGTGCTTTTGTATTAGCTAATCCAGATTCATTGAAAACTGCCATCAAACATTTTTATCCAGTATTTATTAAATCTTTAACAGGTAGTGGGTTAAGGTGGCTACATTGTGCTACAAGGGTTTGTTGTGATAGAGACCTTATGTGGTTCTCATTGCTTCGCACTGCAGGCAACACGCTGTGTGTGCCATGTGTATTGTTGTACGTGACTTACCTGTTTTTATTACCAGTGACTACCTGTCATGTCCAAAGAAGAGAAGAGCTTATGCTCACAGTGGACTGGATTTTATCGATTCCAGTGGCAACACGTGTCTATTTTGCACTGACACCTCAGCTGTGCTGAAAGAAGACTATGTTGACAGGACCAGACTAAGCACTCATCACAATATTCCCAACTCACAAACCAACAGTCAGAATAATTTAGTATTTTTATTTCATTGATTTTTTTAGGGGGGGGGGGGTAGGAGAAAGAAAGAAACATTGATGTGAGAGAACATTGATTGACTGCCTCCTGCATGCCCCTACTAGGGATCAAGCCTGCAAACCAGTCATGTGCTCTGCCTGGGAATTGAACCTGTGACCTCTTTTTTTTTATTATTTTAATTTTTAGAGAAAGAGGAAGGGAGAGAGAGAGAAACATCGACGTGAAAGGGACACATCGAGTGGCTGCCACCCACACAACCCAACCAGGGCCGGGGACAAACTGCAACCGAGCTACGTGCCCTTAGTGGGAACCGAACCTGGGTCTCTCCAGACCGCAGGCCGATGCTCTAACCGCTGAGCCAAACTGGCCAGGGCAACCTGTGACCTCTTAATGCATGGGTCAACACTCAACCACTGAGCCACAGCAGCCAGTAGAATTAATTATAAAGGAGTATCACAGCACAATTTTTGCCCCCCCAACTTACAGCAAGGCTGTAATTTTTCTAAGTGGCTTGTTAGCCAAGCAAGGAAAGCCCTTTACAATGACAAGATAATTAAATTGTTTGATTGTAGCAGCTGAATAAATGTGTCCAATAAAATGAATATTTTTTAATCCTCACTTGAGGGTATTTTTTCCATTGATTTCAGATAGAGTGGGAGGGAAGGAGAGAGATACACATCAGTTGGTTGCCTCCTTCACAGCCCCAAACAGGGCTAGGGATCAAACCGTAGCCGAGGTACATGCCCTTGACCAGAATCAAATCCAAGACTGTTTGGTCTACAGGCTGACATTCTAACCACTGAGGAAAACTGGCCAAGACTAAATTGAACTTTTTTTAAAAAATATTTTTTAATTTATTTTTGTTACAGATGTTTCTCCTTTTCCCTCCACTGATTCCCCCCTCCCTCCCTGCCCTGCCCCCAGCTTTGTTGTCCATGTCCATTGTTCGTGCATACATGCATATAAGTTCTGTGGTTTATCTCTCCCCCACCACCCCCTCTTCTGGGGATTGTCAGTCTGTACCTCACTTCCACGTCTCTGGGACTACCCCATTCCTCAGACTGTTATGTTCATTATATTCCATAAATAAGTGAGATCATATGATACTTGTCTTCTTTGGCTTGTTTCACTTGGGATAATACTTTCCAGGTCCCTCCATGTAGTCTCAAAGGATAAGAGATCTTTCTTACAGCTGCATAGTACTCCAAACTGACTACATGTTGCTTTCTTAACTCTTCAAGCAACTTTCTTGCTTAAGGTGAAGTCTTAAAATGTTCAATTTATTGTAAATAAGAAAGTTGCTTGAAGAGTTAAGAAAGCAACATGCTGTCAGTTTAAAAACAAAGCAAATGAAAATGGGTGATGGGAGGAGACTTGACAGGGTGGTGAACAAACAAGAAAAAGGCAAATGATTTTGAATGCTTTTCCCTTGGCTCTTGAGTTGAAAGACCTTACCAATGCCGTTCAGCCGACTATTCAAAAAGTCAATGTTGAGTTTGAAGTGCGAGAGTGACCAGTTCATGATTAGCTCAGAACCTTTCTGGTTTTAACTCAGGAAGTCCCATTGTGGAACCTCTTCAGTCCCAGGTTAATGCAGACAAGTCACCCTAGAAATGACTGGAGAATTAGCTTTTATGCGTTGTCTGTCTGTGTGAAACAAACTATAAGCAAAAACGTTTTCAAAGTGGAGAAAAGGTTCATTCACTACAACTGAAGCGGAATATTCCAAGACATGACACAGCTGATGGTGGTTAAAAAAGGGAGGGGGGGCAGAAATTGCAAGACTTCCACCTATCCTTCAGCTGAAGGGGCAGTGTGATAAATGACATGCTAAGCCCTGGCCGGTTTGGCTCAGCGGTTAGAGCATCGGCCTGTGGTCCGGAGAGACCCGGGTTCGGTTCCTGCTAAGGGCATGTACCTCGGTTGCATTTTGTCCCCGGCCCTGGTTGGTCGTGTGGGTGGCAGCCACTCAATGTGTCCCTTTCACGTCGATGTTTCTCTCTCTCTCTCCTTCTCCCTCCCACTCTGTCTGAACAAAAAATGGAAAAACGTCCTCGGGTGAGGATAAAAAAAGAAAAAGAAAAAATGACATGCTAAAAGGTAAATATCAAGACAAAAAGCTAACAGAATTCTACAAATGCCTTAGAAATGAGGAATATAATCAAAATCATGTTTGGGGATTGGTATCAGTACTTGGCAGTACCTATCTCAGCGAAAAGACATTTCAAAGGATGAAATACAAAATGTTATTGCAGATCTGTATTAACAAATGAACATTTGCAAGTAACTGATGATAGGAAACACTAACTTAACACCTTCTACAAAAATTAACTCAAACTATATCATAGACCTAAATGTAAAACAAAACTAAAAAACCTGAAGGAAACAGGAGAAAACAATCTCCATGACCTGGTGTTAGGCTAGACTTAACACCAAAAGTATAATCCACAAAAGAAAGAACTGATACATTGAACTTAAATTTTTAAACTTACTCTTTAAGACACTGTTGAAGAGAATGAAAAGACAGGCTACAGACTGGGTGAAAAAATTTGCAAAGCACTTTTTACCCAGAATACACCTTGCAAAACAATCAGCCTCAACTGTCACAGGGAACCCAACTTCTGCCTCCTGATCATAAATTAATACAGACTATTTTCTTTTTCTTTTTTTTAAATCCTCACCCGAGGACATTTTTCCATTTTTTGTTCAGATAGAGCGGGAGGGAGAGAGAGGAAGAGAGAGAGAGAGAAACATCGATGTGAAGGGACACATCGAGTGGCTGCCACCCGCACGACCAACCAGGGCCGGGGACAAACTGCAACCGAGGTACGTGCCCTTAGCGGGAACCGAACCCGGGTCTTTCTGTACCGCAGGCCGACGTTCCAACCGCTGAGCCAAACCGGCCAGGGCAATACAGACTATTTTCATCATTTGTATTCCCATTAAGGACTCAAACATGATTTAAGGAATATGATAATTAACATTTATTGAATATTTGCATATGTCAGATATTGTTATAAGCATTTTAAATTTATTAACTCATATAATCAGAACTATGAAATAGATACTACTATTCCTACCTAAGAGATGAGGAAGCTGAAGCCCACAGATCTTAACTAATTCGCCCTAAGATAGTATATAGTCAATATACAGGAAACTTGCTAAGACCTTAAAGTTTCCTTTCCACAGGATGAGCATGAACGGTTGTTAATGGCAGTGTTAAAACAAAAGATGTGAGCGCTGGCCGGGTGGCTCAGTTGGTTGGAGCATTGTCCTGTACACTACAAGGTTATGGGTTTGATTCCCAGTCAGGGCACATACTAGATCATGGGTTCAATCTCTGGTCAAGGCACATACAAGAGTCAACCGATTGATGTTTCCCTCACATCTCTCTCTTTCCCCCTTCCTCAGTCTAAAATCAATAAACACATATCCTCGGGTGAGAATTAAAAAAGAAAGATGTGAAATCCTTGCACTGACAAGACCTGGTGATGTTTTGAAATGGAGGCAGAAATGGGGCACAGGCTGGCATAGGAGAAGGAGGCAAATAAATTCCTTTCTTACATGCTCAGCTTTGAAGTGACTGAAAACAACATAACACTAGGTGGCAATAGACCCCAGGCACCTAAATCTATACTCAACTCATTTTACTTAGAGATTGGCAAAATGGTATCATTCCTAAAGAGATTTGTACCTTAATGTTAACATTTAAAAAAGACAAAAAAAAAAAACACGCAGAAGCTGCTCCTGTGAAATGACTCAACTGGCTGGGCTGGTGTGGCTAAATTGGCTGGGCGTTGTTCTGAGTACCAACAGGTTGCTGGTTCGAGTGCTGGTTCGGGTACATGCCTGCATTGCAGGCTTGATCCCCAGTAGGGGCAGGCAGAAGGCAGCTGATTGATGTTTCTTGTTGAAGTTTCCATCTCTCCTCCCTTTCTCTCTCTCTAAATCAATTTTTAAAACATTACCCAACTGGGTGCTTAGTAACATTCTTTGGATAATTCGTTATTATTGAAAAATATATCTGCCAAAGGATTGCAGATCACCAGCGATCCAACACAGTGATGACATGAACCATGAAAGTTTTTAGCTTATCTAATTGCATATGGTAAATACAGCTTATGTTAATTGTGCGATAATTGAGCAAACAGTTTTATAATTTGATGTTCCCAGTGTATATTAGATTTTGGTGGCTCCCTTTAAAAAAAAATTTATATGAGAGAACTTTGTTTTACTACCATAGTCACCCAACGATGTTTAACCATGGTGTTCAGTATTTCCTATTTCCACTCTCTGTGCTCACTTAGGTTTTATTTTTTTGTGTGAGGCCTGAACTATAAGCACAAAATAAAACACTGGACTTAGATTTTGGGGCATTTATCTACTTCAATTAGTAAATTTCAACATTTCGGAATTATTTTTTCAAGTTATATCTAGGTGAGATATTTCTGACCTTTTCTCTCTCAAAAACAAAAAAACCCAGAACTGTTTGGGAAGTTAGGGATTAACTAGGGTCAGGAAGTAATGTCCATTTTTCTACTCATAGAATGTTTCACATACCTATCTACAAATTTCTCCAGTTCCAGTAACCAATCTGTTTTATAATTAAAGTGTTGACCAAGTATCTCGGTGGCCAGCTCTGCTTCTACTTGCGCTAACAGAAAGAAGGAAATGAATTTTCATTTCATTCGGCAGTGGTATTATGCAAGTTACTTTTTTGTACTGCTAAGTGGCCAGTTTCAGGATGTCTCCTGTTATAAATAAATAAATGCTGTCAACCCTCTGATGCCCTGGGAAATAAATTCAGACATTTGATAACTTGCCAAACAAACGTGCCTTGAGTAACACTGCTGTCCGCGGCAGCTGCATTCACAGGTTCTTCTGTGGTTTGAGTCTTCCAGCTACCGGTGTTTGAGCACTGGCTTGGATGGAAGCAGGACTTTTGCAGAAGGAACGATGAAAAGATCATACTTATCTGTCCAAAAGAGAAACTATTCAGATGGTTATTGGCAGGGATACAGGCA